CGCCTGTTGCGCGAGGGGCGACTTTGGTGCATCCCCGCGGTTGGCGCCTGCTTGGAGTCTCGCTGAAATGACTGGTTTAGTGCTTTTCGATGACGCTCGTTTCTAAGTGAAAGCGTACGTTTATTTCCACTAATTATCGTGTTAATTCGGACATTTTAGTTAATTATTTCATTTATCGCGAGAATCGGCCCAATATTTTATGTCCCCCCGAACGTATAACTCACCTGGACTGACCGAATTCGTCTACCTTTCAGTGAGGTTATTAAAATAAATCTGTTATTATAGTGGGCGAATGCCAGTTCGAGTCGAACAGCGCAATGTCATTACCAGCTTTAACACTATCAAGAAGACCGGTTGTCGTTGCTTCGCTTCCACTGCGAAGGTTATGAATGACGCGGTGCTATTCGATTTGAACCGCTCTTCGCACACCCTTAATGAAAATCAAACACCCTGCAGATTGGCTTTCTACAATTTGCATTACTACGCCAACTTTTCTCTTCATCCTGCACTGTCCACTCCTGCACTGTCAACTAAATAGGAAATATGGACATTATTTTTGAATGAATAAAAACTCAACTAATGGCGCCTACAGTTTCTTTAATACGTTTAATTGAATAAATTACCGGACTATTTTGCGGACTTGAGCGGACTAGTCCTTAGCAGAACATGTGATCGTTCATAAATACTGGAACATGATTTAGGTTATTATAGAAGCTGTCGTTTCTGCAGAAATATGCTAGATAAATCTTACATCCTCACCCAATAGTTCCACCGCAGAAAAATAGGTGTGGTGTTTTTAATAATACTTATAAAACTAACAAAAAAAGTTTTAAAAAAATTCGCGAGGGATCATTTGTTTATTTAGGCAGGCATACTGGAGGATTAACCGAATACACATTACACGGTGTCATGAAAGCTCACGAAGAGCAAATAGTAGAAGTAAAACGTACAGTAAACAACAACCACAATTCAGTAACTAAATATTTGACGAGATGATAGCAACCACGTTATAGAGGCGAAGACGCGTCATCATCTTAGAACACGTATCAGGAACATGATTTTTTTTTACAGCGGAGCTGTTAAAGGGTTACTCCGGCGATTTTTTGAGCTACCTCAACTAACTATATTTTCTTACTCGCCGGCCTTTACCCTTTCCGGTATGCTATTTAGTATCGCGAAATTCCTAATAGTTATTGCGAAATCGGCAAATGAAAATTATGCAAAAACCAACATTCAAACATACGCGCACTTTTCAGTGCCGTGACGTCAGTGGAAGGTAACTTGCCAGTCGGGCGAGCAGTCTAAAAAATAGAATATGCCAATCATTTGTTCCGTGCTGGAGCGCGGGGACTGTAGCGAGCTTCCAAAGCATTCCTTCGACACCATGAAACTGCTTCGAATCAGTTGAGAACAAATTCTACAGTCCAAAGAGTCCTGCACTTCCACTGACGTCACTTCTTCGTTTTTGCCAGTAGATACTTTCAGGTTGAAAAACACGGTGAGTACCAAAATTGTAAATTCAATAACTTCGTGAAAAAAAAATTATTTTGACCTAATATTTGGGATACTATTTTGGCGATGTTGTTTGGCGAGCTTAGCAAAATTTCAAGCAAATCGGAGACCATGAAGAAATCGCCGGAGTACCCATTTAAGAGCTAGGTTCCCCAGGATCGTGTCCGTGTATGTTGACACAAACCTACCTTTTTTTTTTTTATTTAGGAAATACTGCGGATGGTTTTCCACCATCCTAGCAGGAGAGGGTTACAACATGTTTATAAGGAAGGAATCAAAACTATTGGATGTTGAAGCGTTCACGCAGTCTGACGGCAGTGAGTTCCACTCTTCAATGGTTCGCACAAAAAATGAGTACTTAAATAGATTATTTCTAGGAGCATATTGTCTAATATTTTTGAGTGGTTTAGCCTTGCTGAGTGCTGAGGAGGTGGCTGAATATACAAGTCTTTACTTAAGCCAGTTTCGTTATGATAAATTTTATAAAAAAAACTTAATCTTGCAAATTTCCGCCTGGCTTCGAGAGATTCTAGCCCACATCTATTCAACATTTCAGAAACCGAGGAGAGGCGCCTAAAATCAGAAAAAATAAATCGTGCACTTAGTCGCTGAATCCTCTCCACTTTTTCTATATCTTTCTTTAAATATGGGTCCCACACGATTGACGCATATTCTATAACTGGGCGAACTAGGGCTTTATAGGCTGAAAGTTTTACAGTCCAATTGCACGCTCCCAATTTCCTTCTTAAAAAAACACAGTTTTTTGTAGGCCTTGGCGCAAGTATTGTCTATGTGGGTGTCCCAGCTAAGTTTCGTGTTAATAGTTAGACCTAAGTATTTTACGTCATTCACTGATTCAATGAGTTTATCGCGGACATGATACGTATATTCGAGAGGAGATTTCTTGTGTGTTATTGTAAGAGCGCATGTTTTCAAGTAGTTTAAAACCATCTGCCACCTCTCACACCAGTCAGCAATTTTACACAAGTTTTCGTTAAGCAATAATTGGTCCGAGGTGTTAATGACAGTAGTATAAATCACACAGTCGTCTGCAAACATTTTCACAGTCACACCCGAGTCAAGGTCGTCAGCTATGTCATTGACATATATCAAGAACAAAAGGGGTCCCAAGACAGACCCTTGGGGAACACCTGACAGGACATCAAGATTTTGCGATTGACAACCGTTAATTTCTACAAACTGCGTTCTGTTCGTTAGATACGCAGAAATCCAGTTCACAAGGCGTGGAGAAATTCCTACACGCTGCAGTTTTTTTAGTAGTAGATATTGCGGTACCCTATCAAAAGCTTTTGATAGATCCAAAAATATTGCATCAATTTGTTTCCTTTTGTTGATAGCATTGGCGAAGTCATGTACAACTGATACGAGTTGAGTCGTGGTTGATAGCTTTTTTCTGAACCCATGCTGAAAGCTGGCTAATATGTTATTGGATTCTAAAAACGAAGTGATGTGGCTGGAAATTATGTGTTCGAGCAGTTTGCAGCAACTGCTGATTAATGATATCGGCCTGTAGTTCGCAGCCAGCAGTTTGCTCCCGTCCTTGTGCACCGGCACAACCTTCCCACACAGCCAATCAGGAGGCAGGCATCCCTGATCCAAGGATGCATTGAACAAAACATACAAATACTGCGAAATCATGTCCATATAACGCTTCAGAAAGGCGTTGGGAATACCGTCAGGGCCAGAAGACTTTTTTACATCAAGTCTTAAAAGGAGAAGACGAATCCCATTTACGTTTAAATTTATGTCTTGCATTACATTAGATGAAAGAGAAAAATGTTCGATGGCATTTTCGGTCGTGCCCCGACGACCAAAAACACTATGAAATGTGCTGTTAAGCTCATTGACAATTCGGTAAGGGTCAGTAACCCCACAACCATCAATGTGAAGTTGGTCGACAGTCCTATTGTTGCCAGATAGATATCCCCAAAACTTTTGCGGCGCGTATTTCATGAAGTTTACAAGTGTCGTTCCAAAAAAATAATCTCGAGCGCTCCGTATTTTTTGCTTCAGTGTCATTGAAAGGGAAGATATGACACTATTATCTTTACGAGCTGATTTGCGTTTTCGAGATATAGCTCTTTTCGAATGTATTATGTCCCTTGTTATCCAGGGGTTGTGCTGTTTCTTTTTCTGAAATTTTGGTACGAATTTATCAAGACATGACGCAGTAATGTTTTTAAAGGTAATCCACAAAGTCGATACGTCACCTCCCACCTCAAAGTCACTGAAGCAAAGGTCAAGTGAATCTATAACAGCTTCATCATCGGCAGCGGAAAAGTTAAAGACACATTTACTCGTGTGATTCTTTTTGACAGGACAAAAATTTGAGGTAAGTAAAACAAGCTTATGGTCAGAAATACCATCGCAAACACTCACAGTAGTGTCCTCTGGGAAATTTCCAACAAATATAAAGTCTAGTACGTTATCCGTGCTTTGAGTGACTCTTGTACCCTCTTTAACAAGCTGAATGAGATTAAAGTTTAGCATCAATTCAAGTAACAAGTTGCAGTTTTTTACGTCCGTCGTACCGGGGTGTAAAGTGTGCCAATCAATTGTCAGTAGGTTAAAGTCCCCGGCTAATATGACTTTTTGATTAGGTTTGTATTTTTGCTCCATGTAAGACTGAATTTTTTACAAAAACAACTCCGGCGAGGCGGGGGGCCGATAGATCACACCTACAAGAGCCGAGAACCCAAGATAATCCATTTGACACCACACACTTTCATTGTCGTCTATTTCGTCCATAGTAACGGAAATAATTTCCTTTTTGACTACTAAAGCAACTCCCTTTCCTCGGGAGCCTCGATCACGTCTAACCAGTTTGTGCGTTGGGGGAACTACTTCGGAATCTGATATGTCTGCTGATAACCAGGTCTCTGTAATCGCTATGATTTGTGGATCATATGTAAATATGATTTCTTCAAGCTCGTGAACTTCATTGACAATGCTTCTGGCATTTATGAGAACAACGCGCAATTGTTTGCTATCAAGTCAGTCATCTCTGCTTCGTTGTACTTGAGAGCGAATAAATTTTAGACAATCATTCTCCTCGTCCCATTCATATACATCATCGTTCATTCGCAGCTTATCGTAATCAAGAGACACTTTATGACCTCGAGCTTTAAACTCCCCAGAACGAGACCACAGTTTGCTGCGCTTTGCTAAAGTGCCTTGACAGAAGTCGTGGTTTATCGTGGTTACCTGGACAGCTACCGCCATCTATAAGCGACGGCGGCAAGCACACAACCGGTAAGGTTTCCGCCGTCGCTCGTATAGATGGCGGCAACCTTTCCAGCTATCATAGAAGAATGGATAGTTGGGCGCGTTGGTGGGAATTCATCGTAGGAAACGGAGCGAAAAACAGACGACGACGAAGAAGCACACAGTGTATCGAGTAGAGCTCCGCTGGTCTTCACGAGAGTGGAAAGGCATGATTTCTGCTGGAAATGCATGAGACGCCTTACGTGTTGTCTGAAGCAATCATCGGCTTCCTCCCTGAGTTTCGCTTGTGTTTCGGGATGCAGGCTGAGAAGATAGAGAGTAAAAGCGAGCACCCCTGACGTCGTATCTTGGCCAGCAAGAAAGAAGAGAACGCACTGCGCCATGGCCTCATCCTCGGTTAGGGCTGCAAGAGTCCAGAAGCAATACAAATGAGCAAGGACGAGTATCATTCGTAGAGTTTTTTGTCAGCGATACTAGGGGCCTTTTCTCCCTTTGTCCCATGGGCGCTGCCATCTCTTGTGACGCGGCCGCCGTAAAAAGGGCTTCAACTTGTCGCTCCCTAGCTCACCGCCATGGCGTTGGATTGGTGCCTTACTTTTTCAAATGTCGTCCGGTGTCGTTTGCCATCATTACGTGCACAACATCTGCAGAGGTGTTTGTTACACGCTTTGACTATTTTTACCAGACAGGTGTGAGGAAAGCGGAGGGAAGGGAATCAGCGTTATCTCTGGCACACGTTGATTGCGTACATGACTAACCGCTCATTCACACTGGAAGCGGATCCGCGTTCGCAAAGCGGTTGCGAACGCGGTTGTATAAAAATCCAATGCAATTGTCACGCGCACTTGATGTCATCGAGTGCGCGTGCAATTGCACTGCATCCTTATAGACACTTTACATGCGCGCCAGCTTACAGCCGCCATTGTTGACCTTCTCTTGTCTTACCGAGATACTGAGACGCCAAAGAGGGCGTTGAAGAGCTTCCACATAAGGCTATGGCTGTGGAGCAGGACACAGTAGAAGCTAAAATGGCAATAACTAGTCCTACTGCGGTAACAATTAAGTGATGTAAACAGAATAAGAGGAAACATAAACTAAAGGTCGGTAATGGCGGCGCCCACGCACAGGTGGTGCAAAGCGTCTATACAACCGCGTTCACAACCGCTTTGCGAACGCGGATCCCCTTCCAGTGTGATTGAGCGGTAAGCCATCATGATTGTTGATAGCCCAATTCCGTATGACAACCCGAATTCGCTCAATCAGGCGGCACATTGGAAATAAATAGCGCAATGTATATTTAGAATCGCCTATTTAGGGTCTTAAGGAAGGTGGGGGAAAAAAAGTAATAAGCGAAATCAGCAACTATGGGCATTTTCTGAAAGCGTCGAGCTTCCGTAAATAAACTTTAAAATTTTTTGGTTTTGGATATATTGGGGGATAGGTAACGAACGTGTAACTTGCACTTTATCTAATATTAGGAATAATGATAACGTCAACATCAGGCTGATTTGTGTGTTCGTGGGTTTACACTAAAATATGTTAGACGTTCCTAATCGTTTTTTTTTTCGATATCAACATTCACTTGATCTGCTTAATTAGAACTTAAAAAAAGTGCACATCGTGTTTGGTTCAATTTCAGCAGTCCGTCGAGTGTTTTAACGAATTTCTTAAGACAGAATTGAATTAATTTATTTGAATTATTTTAACGCATAAATTAATACTGACCCCCTCCCCCCCCCCCCCCAAAAAAAAGGAAAAGACGGCACAGACAGTTTGAGTGTGCTGATGGCCCTAATAATGTTACTGCGAAGAAAAGTCGTCTGCATGAAAATCACCCAAGTGTAGCTTTTTCAATGCCGGATAGCGTTAAGTGGCTAGTGTCGCCAAAATGTACAAAGCGCATCTGTTTCAACGAAACATTATCTGTCTACAGAGATTCATGAAATTATGCCTAGCATTCGAATTCAGCCTAACTTGCCGAGGGTGACTTTTCTGACGTCCTTTAATTTAATTTGGCAAATTTTACACAAATAACACACTTGTCAAACTTCACTTGACGGGCCTGTCACTTATACAATATTGATTATATGACTGCTTAGATTGCCTGCGTTATTATAGGAGACGTTTCCAGCCTCTAAGGTTTAGAAAAAGTTGGTGTCCGCAAAAATCAAACGGTAAGCAGCTAACTTGCGACTTCACGCGTTCTTCGGATTTCAGCAGAATATAATCGGGTTATCGAGCTGCTTTTGATTCCTGTGCATCTATGCATTCATCTCTTCATTAGTTTATTTTTCTGGAAACTGGGGTGAGCGCGGAACGGTCGTAGACAATTAAATCCCTGCGGTGCATAAGTTTCGTCGCCGAAACTGATCGAAATTAAGGACGAGCATGACGACACGCATCGTAAAGTTCTAGTAAAAAGTCCACGATTATGACTCGAAACCACTGCAAAAGTAACTCGGTACCGCTGTCGCATTGGTGGTGTGCTACAACGGGCATATTCGCATCCAAACATTGCGCGAAAATAACTAAGACACCAACAGAGCCGTGAGCGCGCTGAAACTGAAGCCAACCAAATCGAAGCCACCCAATGGCGGTGAGTGCGCCAGCGCCCTCTATCCGCCGGTCGTGTAGCTACTCAGATGAAAAGGCTTATCCTCAGAATAGCATAAGTTTGCCAGGTAGCTGATCGTGCATTTTTTGCGGCTTCGACTGAAACCTAACGAAAAAGGATGGCGCGTGGGACACAAAGGGATCAGCAGAAGCGGTCGTGCGACCGCTTTCAGAACAGGGAACCTTCAAAGCAGAGCTCGACACACACGGATCAGAGAGAGATAAAGAATCGGCTCACAGAAAGGGAAATAAAAACTGTAGAAAAAAACATCTTATGACATTCTTCAAAAGTAACCTAAAAAAAAGGCGATGAAGGCGGAAAATATTTTTGGGATAAACAAACATCAGGGGAGAATGCCGATGACATGAATTTGGGAGCAACACGGAATACACAACAAAAGGAAAACATGAAAGTAAAGGAAGCACCAACAAAGCGAAAAGTACAGGCACAAATTAACGGGATCAGTAAATATAAAAATGTCCCTCGATAAAGAAACAAAAGAAAACAAGAAACATGTGCGGTCAAAATAATAATCTATGAAAACCTAAAAAATAAAATGGGAAAACATTTTATTCAAATATTTTATCAACTATTCTGATCGACAAAACTTAAGCGGCATGTATTCTAGAACAAGGAATAAACGCAGACCTTTAACTCTTCCAGCAAACGAAGTGTCCGTCTTTATCTCGGAGTCAAGGTTGAAGAGCTTCTCGTCAGCTGATCTGGTTATTTCATCTGTAGCTGCAACGGCTCCTTCTCGCGTATCCATCATAAGTTGCAGGAAATCCTCCTGTCGCTAAGAAAGGGAAAATGAAAAAGAAATAAAAGTGGACTATCTCTACTCACTTTCTCAAAACGCAATGAAAAAAAAAACGGAAAAAGTGTATTGCGAGACATTGGACGTTAAAATATATACACATGCACTAATCGGGTTTAAAAATAGCAACGAAGACATGAAAAAATTTGGTCGAAGCTGAACAAAATACTGCTTCTTGTGTTATGCGTCCTGTTTCATTTGTATCTGGTTTAAAAACCTAAGCTTGTTAGGAAACCATGACGCACTCCTACTACTGGTTTCCCTACGTTACATCTTCAGCGATGGAAGCGGCATTTAACCTTCTGTAGCAGGCAAAATACAGGTTCGGAGCAGTCGCTGACATTTTTGGAGCAGATGGCACCATCTGTTAGCACGTCACTTGAAAATGGGATTGCATGGCTATACGAGTTCATATCTGATAATGATTAAGGGTCCCTCTTTGGTACTGAGTCATGTTACTCATTACCTTTTCTAGTAAATATAGAGAGGACGCAAAAGGAACACGCAGGTTTAATTCTTATTAGAAATAAGACTCAAGTCAGAGTAAGTTCCATTTAAAATGGGTGTTAAAAGAAAATGTTGAAAAATGAAGCATAGCCCAACGCTTTAGTCGAGATAAAGCTTTCGTCTCTCTCCATCTTCTAGACTCGGTAGTTCATTTAGCCTGTAAATATAATCCCCATAAAATGACGGCGAAAGTTAGCATATCGGATAAAACCTTTATCGATAAAATACTTCCCACAAAGCTTTATGAACACCGAACTCGAGACATAACTATCCTAAACTGCAAGAACAACCACCCACAAAAAAATATTAAAACCTTTAGTTTCCTCTTAAAAGGAACAGCACGCTTTAGCGGCGTTCGCACCAAGGTAGAGTCAAGTTCGCTGCCCTTTCGATCATCTGCTGCACGGGAACTACCTTGACTACCGCAATTATTCAAATATCGAAAAGCGTTTTTTTTTTTTCTTCTTTCTCGGCAACCTTTTAAGATTAGCGGTCAACCGACAGTGAATACCAAAAATGCTAAGACTGAGCACAATTTGCGAGCCCATCGCACTAAAGCTGCCCCACGTCAGCCGTTGCTCTTAGCAGCCCGCATTGCAAAGCGGTGGAGCTTGAGGCGCTGATGTGAGGCCGTGAAGGTTCACGCAAGCGGCGCAAGTGCCACGGTACACTGGAACCACGGCATGGAGGCAGGTAGCAGACGTGATTTTCAAGTCGTCTGCAGTGAAACACTGGTTCTGTCTAATTACAGTGGCCAACTATTTCCCACATTTTTCTCTCGAGCCGCGAACATCTCCGACATCGTCTGCAAATGAAAGCGATGAGCTGTCGGGACGCAGGCGACGGTACGAGTCGAAGCGCAATTTCGTCTGCTTCTTGCACAGGGGTTGTGATTCGGTCAAAACGTCCAGCTCTTCTGGGCTGATATCGAAACCAATAGTGGGCAGACCTCGAGGCCTTGAACACTGAGGTCTGTCCACTATCCTTCCAATTAAAGCCAATCAGAGCTCGGCGTCCTTATGACGTCACCGCAAGCCCTCCGGATAGGGAGTTTTCGCAGACCGCGTTTCCGCCTCCTCAACGAAGAAGCCGCTGCTGCGCCTGCACGCCGACGGCCTTCGCTGTCGAGTTCCGGCTAGCGTAGCCGGTTGCGGAGGGCGTTGCGGGACGGCCAAAACGATCGACGAAAACTCCCGAATAGAACCGATGAAACAGAATGAGAGTGCGACATTGCACAGGTCGAATTGTACACGCGCTTTGGTCGGCTAAAGCCGCTGAAACACTCGAGCGCAGCGAATGCCCCCTAGATTGGCGCTTTTAGCATGTGTGTCTTAGTGGCCGTTTCAGTCTTCGACTGTACTTTGACATAAGAAACAAACTATACGCTATAAACACCATGAAGTACTTATTTGTGCCATTTTCGTTTCCTTCTACTTCTATCAATACTAAAACCGACCAATAATAACTTACGTTATATACATATCTTTTGCTCTGTTTGAGTCCATCTCGGCTCAAACAGAGCAAACCGATGAAACAGAATGAGAGTGCGACGTTGCACAGGTCGAATTGTACATGCGCTTTGGTCGGCTAAAGCCGCTGAAACAATCGAGCGCAGCGAATGCCCCTAGATTGGCGCTTTTAGCATGTGTGTCTTAGTGGCCGTTTCAGTCTTCGACTGTACTTTGACAAAAGAAACAAACTATACGCTATAAACGCCATGAAGTACTTATTTGTGCCATTTTCGTTTCCTTCTACTTCTATCAATATTAAAACCGACCAATAATAACTTACGTTATATACATATCTTTTGCTCTGTTTGAGTCCATCTCGGCTCAAACAGAGCAAACCGATGAAACAGAATGAGAGTGCGACGTTGCACAGGTCGAATTGTACATGCGCTTTGGTCGGCTAAAGCCGCTGAAACAATCGAGCGCAGCGAATGCCCCTAGATTGGCGCTTTTAGCATCTGTGTCTTAGTGGCCGTTTCAGTCTTCGACTGTACTTTGACATAAGAAACAAACTATACGCTATAAACGCCATGAAGTACTTATTTGTGCCATTTTCATTTCCTTCTACTTCTATCAATATTAAAACCCACCAATAATAACTTACGTTATATACATATCTTTTGCTCTGTTTGAGTCCATCTCGGCTCAAACAGAGCAAACCGATGAAACAGAATGAGAGTGCGACATTGCACAGGTCGAACTGTACATGCGCTTTGGTCGGCTAAAGCCGCTGAAACAATCGAGCGCAGCGAATGCCCCTAGATTGGCGCTTTTAGCATGTGTGTCTTAGTGGCCGTTTCAGTCTTCGACTGTACTTTGATATATGAAACAAACTATACGCTATAAACGCCATGAAGTACTTATTTGTGCCATTTTCGTTTCCTTCTACTTCTATCAATATTAAAACCGACCAATAATAACTTACGTTATATACATATCTTTTGCTCTGTTTGAGCCCACCTCGGCTCAAACAGAGCAAACCGATGAAACAGAATGAGAGTGCGACATTGCACAGATCGAATTGTACATGCGCTTTGGTCGGCTAAAGCCGCTGAAACAATCGAGCGCAGCGAATGCCCCTAGATTGGCGCTTTTAGCATGTGTGTCTTAGTGGCCGTTTCAGTCTTCGACTGTACTTTGATATAAGAAACAAACTATACGCTATAAACGCCATGAAGTACTTATTTGTGCCATTTTCATTTCCTTCTACTTCTATCAATATTAAAACCCACCAATAATAACTTACGTTATATACATATCTTTTGCTCTGTTTGAGTCCATCTCGGCTCAAACAGAGCAAACCGATGAAACAGAATGAGAGTGCGACATTGCACAGGTCGAACTGTACATGCGCTTTGGTCGGCTAAAGCCGCTGAAACAATCGAGCGCAGCGAATGCCCCTAGATTGGCGCTTTTAGCATGTGTGTCTTAGTGGCCGTTTCAGTCTTCGACTGTACTTTGATATAAGAAACAAACTATACGCTATAAACGCCATGAAGTACTTATTTGTGCCATTTTCGTTTCCTTCTACTTCTATCAATATTAAAACCGACCAATAATAACTTACGTTATATACATATCTTTTGCTCTGTTTGAGCCCACCTCGGCTCAAACAGAGCAAACCGATGAAACAGAATGAGAGTGCGACATTGCACAGATCGAATTGTACACGCGCTTTGGTCGGCTAAAGCCGCTGAAACAATCGAGCGCAGCGAATGCCCCTAGATTGGCGCTTTTAGGATGTGTAGTGGCCGTTTCAGTCTTCGACTGTACTTTGACATAAGAAACAAACTATACGCTATAAACGCCATGAAGTACTTATTTGTGCCATTTTCGTTTCCTTCTACTTCTATCAATATTAAAACCGACCAATAATAACTTACGTTATATACATATCTTTTGCTCTGTTTGACTCCACCTCGGCTCAAACAGAGCAAACCGATGAAACAGAATGAGAGTGCGACATTGCACAGGTCGAATTGTACACGCGCTTTGGTCGGCTAAAGCCGCTGAAACAATCGAGCGCAGCGAATGCCCCTAGATTGGCGCTTTTAGCATGTGTGTCTTAGTGGCCGTTTCAGTCTTCGACTGTACTTTGACATAAGAAACAAACTATACGCTATAAACGCCATGAAGTACTTATTTGTGCCATTTTCGTTTCCTTCTACTTCTATCAATATTAAAACCCACCAATAATAACTTACGTTATATACATATCTTTTGCTCTGTTTGAGTCCATCTCGGCTCAAACAGAGCAAACCGATGAAACAGAATGAGAGTGCGACATTGCACAGGTCGAACTGTACATGCGCTTTGGTCGGCTAAAGCCGCTGAAACAATCGAGCGCAGCGAATGCCCCTAGATTGGCGCTTTTAGCATGTGTGTCTTAGTGGCCGTTTCAGTCTTCGACTGTACTTTGATATAAGAAACAAACTATACGCTATAAACGCCATGAAGTACTTATTTGTGCCATTTTCGTTTCCTTCTACTTCTATCAATATTAAAACCCACCAATAATAACTTACGTTATATACATATCTTTTGCTCTGTTTGAGTCCATCTCGGCTCAAACAGAGCAAACCGATGAAACAGAATGAGAGTGCGACATTGCACAGGTCGAATTGTACACGCGCTTTGGTCGGCTAAAGCCGCTGAAACAATCGAGCGCAGCGAATGCCCCTAGATTGGCGCTTTTAGCATGTGTGTCTTAGTGGCCGTTTCAGTCTTCGACTGTACTTTGACATAAGAAACAAACTATACGCTATAAACGCCATGAAGTACTTATTTGTGCCATTTTCATTTCCTTCTACTTCTATCAATATTAAAACCCACCAATAATAACTTACGTTATATACATATCTTTTGCTCTGTTTGAGTCCATCTCGGCTCAAACAGAGCAAACCGATGAAACAGAATGAGAGTGCGACATTGCACAGGTCGAACTGTACATGCGCTTTGGTCGGC